TACATTAAAGGAACTAATGCAACTATCAATTGCACATGCACCATTGCACTTATAAATAAAACATGGTCCTAACAGTACGCTTTGAACTATATTCATCTTTTTCCTTTAGACATTTTTATGCTAAATCTACTGGTAACGATCTACTGCACTTACTTGGCCCAACCTGTATAAATACGTGACACTAAGAGGTCCAAATTCTACGTAGCCCAACTTGGTTCTCTACTCAAAAATCCTACCCGAACCCGTTTTCACAATTAAAAAGAATCATGCGCGTAACCTGTCCGAGGACAATTGCAGTTACATTTGCACGATCGTTTTCTTTCTTTTTATTTCTGTTTTAAGTGGCCATTTCCTGCAAAGTGGACGTAAAAATTAACATTCGTCGTTGATAAAGTGACGAGCAGTATTAACGATAAGCGCGAGTTTAGACGTCAAAATGAACGTGCATATTTCATCGCGGCCGATAGCTCAGCTATATTCAAAGCCCGTGCGCGATCACGGCACGGAATGTCCCATTTCGTTGCGCAACAACAAAATTACTGTACCTCGTAACAGACGATATTCGACGATTTTCATTTCTGCTCGAAAATCTAGCTCTTGGTTAAAAAAAAAGAACGGCTAACGAAAAATTTAACAGCGAACGTTGGGAAAATTCAGAATAACGAAGTAGTTGTTATTCAAGTGCCAAAATTAATTCCGAAAAACTGGTTATCAACCTGGAAAATGTATGGGACAATTATATCGTACCAAACTGCGAAAGATTAACTGAAAATTTTATGCTAGACCGAAATTACGCGCTTCAAAACGTTTGAAATTTCCATCCAAGCGTGTAATAGACGATTGGATTCTACAAACACTTCTAAGTCCGCGAAAAAAAAAAAAGGAAAAATATTACACGGCAAAGTGGTAAATGTTTCTTAAGCCGATTGCGTAAGATTTCCATTGGGCCGCGTTGGCGGCGGCGGCTTTATGGTTTGTTGGTCTCGCACTTCGCGGGCTTTATTTGATTTAAAAATCAGAGAAATTAAGTCCCATAAAGCAGGCGCTAAACGGCCCCAACAGACTGCAAACACCGAGTCGCTAACCGCATCAAATCGTCAGAAACTTCTCTTTATTTACGGCGAGCGGTTCCCTCGTGTGTTCACTCACTGCCTAATTGGCTCATTTAAGCGTTCGTTGTTCCTCTCTTGATAAACTGTTTGGAAATTTAATGTACGGCCGAGACCGAGCAATTAGGAGCCGTTCTGTATAGCCCGTGTGGCAAAGAAAACGAACATCGACTGCCAATTCCGTGCTGCTAATTGCGCCAACAGGATTGATCCTAATGATTAATAGGGGAGACAATTTTCATTGCCATTAAGGGAATTACAGTTTCCCGCAAATTTGCCCGGGGACTTGCGTGAACTAAAACACCTGGCGAGTTGGACAGACGTCTGCAAACTTACGATAAATATATTCCTTAAATATATTCCTGGGATGCTCGTCGATAACTAACGATAAATCTATAGGCACAGAATCGATACCACACAATTTGGATACAAATGAATTTTTGGTAGTATTGGAAATGAAGGGGAATGAATATTAAATAAAAAATGAAGTATAATAATTATGAGGTATATTGGATTTATTAGGTTCTACCTAGACTCTATCAATCTTTGTGCTAAGATCCTGTTAAAGGAATGACGCTAACGGCCCGGGGCTAATTGTCGAACAACCTGAAGTATTTCTATAATTGAACGAGAATTTAGACCTAGAAATTCCTAGACTAGGCCAGTAGACATCGCTGTTACCCATTTCTTCGAACCTATGCATTCGATGTTGGACAGAACTATACTCGAAAAGCAATTTGGGATCGGTAATTACAAGAGAAAGATCTTGACACCCCAGAAAAGGCAATGGGGACAGTGAACATGTCCACAGGGATACTTCATCCTCTCCCACTCGTCAACCTCTCCTCCAAAACTTGGAATCCTTCAGAACCCTCGAGCCACCTCGACCGAATACCGAGTGTTAATCTGATCACCGTTCTCGTGAAACTTCAAACACTCGATGTCGTTCAAGAATTTACGCTAAATTGAAAGTAAACCTGGGAAGCATCAATCTATGCCAGGGGTTTTCATACTATAGCCCACTATAGTTTATTTTGACTGCATTTTAAAATTTTAAATGTAAAGCAAATCAGGACTACAGTATGACGAGTTAGCTGGGTCTTGCTCCCTGGGACTTAGTGGTCTATATCTATTAGAATGAATCTAACACTCTGAAGAAAAAGCCAGGATTGCACTAAAGATCAGAAAGCAAGTTAACATCACTCAGATCCTGCCCCGTTTGCGATCTCGACCACGAACACCAACACGCACGCCATAGCTCGTGAATGGCCAGCAATTTGCGGGCCCGTTGGGGCAATTTCGGGGCCCGGCGCCCCACCACCGCGCCGCGAGTGCGAAATCCCTCTCCTCGGGCCGCACACCCACCGCTGAAGTCCGCGTTCGCGCTGGGCCCGGGTAATATCTCGTTTAGAAAGATTACAGGTTCGAGAAGAGGCTGCCAATGTATAAAACAAACATCGTTAAGCCAGCCCTATACTTAGTCCCCGCCCCACCTCCGTTCCCGGGCCCAGCACCAGAGGCATTATGCGAGTCCTCGACGACCACGGCCCCGAATCTCGGGGCCCGTTGGCTGCGTGTGCTCGCCAGCCACCGGTAGGTCAGGAACACGCACAGCAACAACTCGCGCACAGTGTATTGAGACGTAGACCACCGGACGCAGATTGGGCCAGGCACAATTTCCGCGCGTGTAATTATCCGTGATAGTCGTCGTCGTCGTCTCGCCAAGGAGAGAGGAAGAGGGCCAGACCTCGTTGGGACAGCCCTAACTCGACGGTTATTATTTATCGATGGAGATTGATTTAGAGCGGGGCCCGGGCCTGACCGATCAGGGCCCGTTCCGAGCGATTATATCTGTTGCGTGAAACATCAGCGAGCAACGTGTTTCGACGTTTGCAGAATGCCTAGGCTGGGATCTCTGGAACGATAGGGGAGATCGATGGCGTGTCTTGGGCTGGAGGATCGTCCACGATGCTGTCTAACTCCTGCTGGCTAGGGTAGGGGTGGATTCCAAGACTCTGGTTTTGTCTACTCGTGAGTAATTCGTTGGTCTGTGCTCGCTTCCAAGTACAAGTGTTCGTCCTCTATCTCTATAATCTCGGGGCTCAGGAGTTTGATGTAGCTCGCAGCTCAATACAGTATAAGCTAGCTTTTGTAATACCGACGTTAATGACTGCGTAACGGTATCGGCCGGCAAGAAGCGCTCGAAAAAGAGCGCCTTAAACTAAATCCATGCTGTATAGCTTCCCGCCAGCTGGAACCGTAATCCAGGGTGCACACGCGCGTAACTTTTTTGCACTCAGCTGTGTGCGTCACATATGAAATATGTAAACATCCATACTCACCCTTTCGCTCGAGGGTATCCTCTATTCCGAGCTATCACATAGTTTTCTGACGTGTTTGGCCTTGCGTTTCCTCGGCTGTCGCCGCGAAACAAAAGCGTTTCGTCTGGTGGTTTCGATGAAACTACCCCAGCAACTCGTTCCCTTATACCCTTTACTTTCTTTTTTTTTTTCCCTCTGTTTCAGTGTAATCGAGTTCATCGCGCTTGCGATCGAGGGAATTTTTGATCGGTCGAGCCACCGAGGGAAAAGTCTAGCGAAGGCAGACTTTGAGTGAGCACGCTCTCAATTATTAAGCGCGATGAAACGCGTCTCGGAGCCGAGTTTCTAGCGGAGTGAACTTGGTTGGTAAACAACTGAAGATTCGCGTTAAAGTTTCAAACAAAACCCTTCCAGAAAGTAGAAAGGCTGAAGACCTGGAGAAGTGGATTTCACGACACTAGATGGAACTATGACTCGCGGTAGCATTCGATAGCGTTAAGAAAAAGCTACCAGGGTTGATCCAGGCGATGATCTGACTTTTCCAAGCTTAGAAATACAAAGAGTATCACCTGGTAACGCTGAGGGTGCAATAAAACAATTGATACTAAGCGATCGAAATAGTAGAGTGAGAATAGCCAATCCCTAAACGTCACAATAGCAAATTCGATAGCTCACGAGTCTTACAGCCTTGAATCCTACAGCTCTGAGTCCCTATATTGGGTTCCTATATACTAGGACCTTTTTCCAGCTCGTTTTCACTTCTAAGCGACCAAAATCCACGGCTGAATTCGCGAACGAGTTTAACCGGGTCCGTGGAGCGATTTCCTGCGGTTTGGCGGGACCCGCTGACTTCTCGTGTTTCGCTCACAGCCCGTCATTTTTCTCACGGCTCTTGCCTTACCGCGTTCCTCGCGATAGAAGGCAACGCGACTCGCTACGATTAATCCACCGAAATCGCGACGCATTACCAAACGTCATGTTCGAGTGTGCTCCGCGCGCTTAACTAGGGGAACCGCAGAGTCCGTCGTTTAGCCTGTCCGCGCACAGCGGAGACCGCAGCGGCAATTCCCACTTCCGTTTCGCTTGATCAGCTCGAGATATTCGAGCGATCAGCGAATCAACCTCGCGAGATCAACGTTTCGACGAGATCGGAGCTTCGCACGACGCAGGAAAGAGCTACCGGGGTTGGTTCAAGTGAGGTTTTGGGATTTCTAAGAAGAAGGGATGTAAGCTGAACGTTGCAGTAATAGGGATTGAACTATAAGCGGAGGTATTCGAATCTAGGTAAACGTTTCGACGAAGGAGCGCTACGTCTAGCTTCTACGACTTAAAAAAAGCTACTATAGAGTGTCCAAGTGACGATTCTGCATTTCCGAACTCGAGAACCTGGTGAATACGACCTGGACACTCAAAGGATGTACCAACAAAGGTAAACAAGCACAGCTGGTCTAGGTGACAATTGCTCATGTTCAAGCTGAAGAACATAATGAATATGACTTGGTCCGCTGACAGAGTCGATGAGTAAGTAAACCTCATCGAATGATTATGGTTTAACGAAGATTGTTGACACTTACCGGCCGCTTTTCGTGATCACCATCTCCGTGCCAAGCTTGTGGAATTTCTCCCAGAGCTCCTTGCCCTCGAGGGTGACCTTGGGATCGTCCACCACACCGTCATCTTCTGGAGGTGGCATGAGGGCAGGATGAGGCCCCGCGAGCGGGTGATGAGGTGCCAGGGGATGTGGCGACGCGTGAAGCATCCCCGGGGGTAGGTGAGGCCTGAGTGGCCTCATAGCTGGTCCACCAGGACCACCCTGATGATGGTGGTGCAATGCTGCCGCTGCTGCCGCTAAAACGGCCGCTTCTTCGGGGGTATGTGGTCCCAGGCCTAAACCTGAAACGAATATTTCAAACAATCGTTACTTAACTGTCTTCTCTGATAAATCCCTACTTCATTCATTCTTCGGCTAACCTAACTAATAATCACTCATTTTTACCGGATGACTTCATCTATACAGTTGAGTAATCTTTGACAGCTATTTTGAAAAGGACGCGACAATTGGAACTATCATATGTTATTAATTCTATAATGATTGAAACGTTAACATTGTGTCATATTATTCTACATTTTTTGTTTGCGACAAACTGGAGAACGTGATTAAACACCCCACCCTGAGTGTAAAATAAATAAATTTCAACTAATTTAATTTTCATATTCACTGCTAACACAAAACAAGATTAATAATTGTAGAGTATGATTTTGGTGACGAATGCATGGATGACAACAACCTGAGTCGTGAAAGAAGAGTTTTTGGACTGTGCGAAAGTTTGAAGTGTGACTGAAAAATAAACGCATGGAATCGAGCGAATGTTTAGGTTAAGGGAGCGACTAAATGATAAAAGTGTTAGGTTAGGAAGATATACCTGAACGAATGCTAGAGTTTTAGTTTTAAATGGGAGAGCGAAGCGAACAGATCTGCGATAGTCAAAGTGTCAAACTGTGTGTGTGTGACTAACAGCGTTATTTTAGTTTATACTTATACAGAAAAATAGTTTAACTATAATCCTGCATCCCATTGTAGCAATAATACCATCATTGCCATTATCAAATAAAATCATACATAATAAACTGACGATGAACTCAAATGAAATTGAAAAACAAAAAACTGCGAGTTACTTATACGTAGATAAATTTCCATTGTTGATTGTGCGAAGTGGCGAAAAATTTATTAGTCAAATTGTGCTCTTTAAAAATTCCCGCTGAAAATCGAACGGTAATTGATAATATTCGATCGCAGTGGGCGAGCTCCTTAATTAAAATATTATTGGCGTTTAATTGCGTATGAATTAAAATTGGCACAACAAAAATAACGGCAACGTATCAATTTTCACGTTGTTATAAACACACGGCTCAAACAGTGAAATTGGATAACAATAGAGTGAAATAAAGTCATCGCTGAAAATTATTACAGAGCGGTGAACGATTCAATTATTCCTATTTTAAAATTGCGAACACTATAGTTCAGTAATTCAGAAAATTCAGAATAATACATACTACTGCAACAACCGTGAACTAATAATTATTATTTTCAACTAACCTGTAAATTAATCATCACTTGACACACATGTCACAACGAACAGCCAAGAATCGAATTATTATTAATTGCAACTATAATTACAGTTCAACGATCCAACGAAGGTTAGTTAGTCGATCGTCGCACTCGTAATTCGCCAAATACACACAGTGGGTGTAGAAAGTATTCGTACACCGATCAATTTCCAAAAAGACTATGTAAAATTGTAATTTATTAACTTATTTTTTATAAACAATGACATTCTACATATTTCTCGGAAATTTCTAGAATAGATAGATTACAAAAAAGTAGCTATTTATGTAAGTTGCGAAATTAATAAGAAAAATACTATTAATCGATAGAAATATTGAAGCAATAAGTATTCGCACAACTGTTTAATTTTTAAAACTTGATTAAAAACAAAAGAAATTTACATTAATTTATACGTATTAGGTGAACCGGAAAATAATGTCGTTTTTGCAATTTTAAATACTTGTTTATCGTTCATCAGCTCATTGATTTTTATCGATCTGGCATTGGCAATTTGCACAGTAGATGACAAAAGGCTATTGATAACAGTAGCGATTATACAATTAATAATTAAAAATAGAAATTTATAAAAAATTTGTTCGAATTTAATGTAAAAAAAAAACGACATTACTTTCCAGTCCACCTAATATATAATACTTCCTTCGTGGGATTTCCTTTTGATTTTATCATTATTGCAACTCTTCTAAGCGTTAAATTAACTAAATTATTAGTTATTCGAAGTGGAATCTTCTTCAATTCTTGTATTAGAGCCATTTTTAAAAGTACTTTACTGAAAATTTGATGTTTACTAATTCGTACGGAGCCATTTTTAAAAGTACTTTACTGAAAATTTGATGTTTACTAATTCGTACGGAGCAATAAACTAATGTGTTTACGTTACGAACTCTACTGTAAATGGTTCGAATCGAATGGTAAGAATCGTACAAATACTTATTGCTTCTATACGTTTACCCACTTCTCGCATTCTTTTGTTAATTTCACAAATTATATTAACTAGTAAATGTTGTTCGGACCACATCTATCTTGGGGACTTCCAAGAATGTGTAAAATATTATTGATTATAAAAGAAAGGAGTTAATAAACTACAACTTCACACAAAAGTATTTTTGCGAAATTGATCGGTGCACGAATACATTCTACACCCACTGTAATATTAATCACATAGTAAACATTTAACCACAGGAAAATGCAAATTGTTTCGTCTTAACCTTCAAGACGCGCGGTTATTGTTGTGCGCGCACCGATCCAGACTGCGATCGAAATCTCGAAAACAGATCGTTCCGCGTATCGATAATTCTCGCGTCACTGCTCGAGCGCCACACGTCAGTCAGTCGTCAACCGTGACGCTCGTGCGTGTTCCTTGCGTCGAATGAATTAATTCGATAATTCTCGGTCGATATTATACGCGTTTCACAGTGTTCGGTGTGTTTTGTGTTGAATTAGGTGTCAAGACAATCGACAAGACTCAGAAGCTACGTGCTGTCATTGACTCGAAACATCTCAGGATCGAAGCTTCAATTTTTCCAAGGCGTGCGTTACAGATCGAGCTAACCCCTTAATGGCGTCGATATCGTCGTAGAATCGAATCGATCAACTCCACGCTAACAATTGGACAGTACAGATTGCTCTGTTGACCCTCAGAACGCGTCAGTTCTATTCTTAAGGTGGTGTGTTTGTTTGTATCAAGAATAGTGCAGCCAACTCGTGCTTTCCAACGCAACCATCGAGAGAAAGAAGCGCGAAGACAAGGACAGGCTATATAGCAGACAAAGTTTCGAACTTCGCCAAGCGTGGTGAGGTTAGGATTGAACGGTAGAAGTAACGAGAATTTACCACCGAGCTTGCAAACTGTCAGTGGATCTTCTATCGCGAACTTTAAACGCCTGTCTTCCTTCCGATATCCATTGATCTCGTCGATTCTCGTACTTTGAAGACCGAATCCGTATTTTGGCAGAATCGATTGCGATATAATTCGTGAGGCTTCGACTGGAACTGGCATCTTCGATCGAGGTGAGTTTATTTATCTAACGAGCCACTGTTTCTGTGGTAAATTGTATTTTATTCTATTGAAATGTTCTTTTTCCTGTGTGTTATTTGTGCTGCGAATGTCTACACTGAATTAGTTACTATTGCAATATTTGTTGAATGCTATCGAAGCAAACTTTAATTAAATCTTGAACAAAATTCGACTAAATATCACGCAATCGTTAATTGGTCTGGTCAATAGAGCAATTAATGGAAACGTCTGTGTTATTTTTGGTTCTGGGTCACGATAATGTTTGTCCGCGGAGCAAATTTTATTTATTATTCCAGCATACAAATGCACCAACCGTATCTGCGTAAAATCCTCGTAAATTCGGCGGCTTCCCTTTCAAGTCCCTCGGCTAAATTGAGGATCAATAACCACCATCAATTAAGATAAGGCTGGATGATGCGAGATCAACTTTCCCGAATTCCGGGTCGGCAACGTTCGCTTTTTAGTCCCGCAGCTGTCGTATTTAAATTATTATTTCAATTAACAAAATCGCAATTTACCAGCCGTTCTTAACTTTGCCTTAAGAATTTTCCCACAGAATTTTTGCTCGGACCTATTCGGTTTTTACAATATTACAAAAACTTCTTCTTAATTCTTGAGAGGAAATTACTTGAATACATTAGCGATTCCTTTATTTGTGAAATTAAAATCTCTTTCCGTAAAACAATTCTTTTGGTCGCACACAATGAATTTAATAAAAATTCTAATAAATCCTGTAACATCTTTAATTTCAATTTAAGCCTACTTCAAATTACTTCTTTCAGAAAATTTTATTTTAATTCTCACTGAACCATCAAACGTTTTCCTTTAGATTCAAGGAGTTAATTGTTTGTTCAGTAAGTTTCGTTCCCACGTATCCAGCCGCTTAGCATTTTTACCCGTGAAATAATCATTCGTAATGATGCAAATCACGATTATATTATTTATGACTAATGATGTAGTTAATAGGTAACGGCACGGACACGGCTTCTGGTATTTTCTTTCTATTTCGATCAATTGCCGGGTGCGTGGCTTGGGAAAAAAATGCGAGAACCTGTTGCCACGTTAATGACTTCATGATTGTTATCAAACAAAGTCTGCGCGAGCCGATCATTAAATCGATATCGTTCATCTGTCTCGTATTTCTCTGTATCCGCAGCCGTTTCGCTTCGATTCCTTCGCGTTTTCATCGACAATGCTGATCGTTTTTATTTCCTCTATCAAACTTTCCGACCCTTTTGCTCGCTCTTAAATATTATTCGAATGCTGAATAAATTGTGATAGTATATCTAGTATTAATATTGTTATCTGTGGTCTGTTCTAATATTATTGTGGAAGAAAACTAACCACCTCATTTTCATAATAAATAGCAAACATCTATAACAATTTCACACGTTTTGTGTACTAATAGGTTACATCCGTTTAAAAAAAAAAAATAAATGAATAATTTCAGTGAATCGTTTTTGTGTTCAATTACTGGAATAGCAAATTTTTGAATAACAATATGTATTCGTGTGCGCATGTATTAAAATAATATTAAAATAAATTACTATTTTTACCGAGCGAAGTAAAGAGTATTGGATAAATGAATATTATTGGACGATAATATTCCATAAATAAGCGTAAATAAATGACAATTGTTTTCAGCCCAAAAATCGCTAACTCACATTTGCGTTCTTTACGAATATCGTTCCACCGCTAGTAATGTTACCAATTATTGTATTTATTTTATCTACAAAATAAACTAATTCCAAT